CCAATAGAAAAAGAAAATCTATTGATACACAACATGGATAAATTTCAGGGGCATTATGTTGAGTGAAAACAGTCAATCTCAAGTCACATATGATTCCATTTATATAACATTCTTGACAGAATTACAGAAATAGTGATCAAGTTAATGGTTGGCAAGATTGAAGGATGTTGGAGGTAGGGGGTGGGTGTGACTAGAGTAATATGAGAGAGCTCTTTTTGATAATGGAATATTTCTTTATCTTTTTTTGTGACATTAGTTACAGGAGGTTAACCCTTCATTTATGCTGTTACTGCTTTATCACATACTTAACGTGAAACTACATTCAACAAGAGTGAAACTGAAATCTTTATCACAAAAGAAAGATGAATAATTTGATTAATTGAAGTTTACGACATTTAGTTTAAAGACAAAACTCAACACAAATGGAAATGGAGATGTTAGATCCAAAGCTGAAAGCTAGAAAACTCATAATTGTTTAGTGGAACATTGGGTAAATGTTTTACAAGTACATTTCTGGAGCCTGCAACAGTGGATCCCCTCAATGGCAAATCCAAGATCATTGAGCTAAGGTAAGAGGCAATTCTTGTTCCAATTTTAGAATTCAGCTACTTCAGGTACTGTAGGCATAATGTGATGAGCTGCCAATTTGGTTTGCTTACCTCACTTATCTGGTGGTGGGCAGATAATAGTACTCTGCTCTACAATTGTTATCTATTTTTTCTTTTTTTGGTTGCTTGTTAAATAAGCCCCTTATTTCAAGCCTTAAAACATTGAGTAAACAAAATGGACTTTGACCTGTATGGAAGCGACAGTTCTATCTGCGTCAGTCCAGCCAGCCTTTAAAAGATGTGCCCATATTCAAGGATGGTGATTGGTGCTGGGCAGAGAGGTGGCCCAGCAAGACAGCACCTTTGGTGAACAGATAGATCTGGTGGTTGTTCAATGGTTCTGCTCTCTTTGCATACTGATTTTTTGATTATTAAAAAAAACACACACATATAACAACCATAGATTAATAAACAATGGAAGCATTCACACTACAGACAGGAAGATGACAAAGATCCCTATTATTACCACTGCTGTTTAATTTCATAATAGTAGTACCAGCAAATGCAGTTATAGAAATTATAAAGGTTAGAAAAGAGGAAGTAAAATTATCACTGTTGGCAGGGCAATTGGATTGCATCTGAGAACACAAACAGTAGGCTTCAATAAAGTAGTTAGAAGTGCAAAATATATAGAAATAAATATGTATATGTTAAGTATATATGTAGATATTGTAACATACACATTTGCTAAATAAGGAGGAACTGTAAAAAGGGGTATTTCCAAAATAGACTATGTGCTCTATTTCTGGAGAGTGGATACATAATCTACCTAACTCATATTTCTGCAAGAATCCTAAAAGAGTATGCTAGTAATACACAGAAAGGCACAGTAGAAAATATATTTTAATGGTTCATCTAAGTCTTCATTTGGAATGTCTTATAACACAGACTGTTAATGCCAAAAAAGTAATCACCCAGAGAAAATTTATAATAGAATCTAGACTGCTTTCATTAGATTACAGCAATGCAATGTATTGGTCCTGTTTTCATAGCATAGATTTTAAAAAAACCAAAAACATTTTAATTGTTTAAAATGTTAAAATTTGCTTTAAAATAATTTTTTAATTCAGAGCATAAGCCTCTACCCCTCACAGGAGAAATATTTTTTGCAGAGGCAGTTGTTTTGAAAGATGGTTAATATTTCTCTGCCTTACGTCCTTTGCTTGGAGCAAAAGTAGTGATGCCTTTCTTTAGCTAAGCCTTTTGTAGGCAGTTAGAAGTCAGGGATCATTCATTTGAAGAGTTGTTTACAGACTGGCTATAGGGCCTGGGATGACCGTGTAGTGTTTTGGAAGCTTCCTAGGTGATTCTTTGTTTGGGTTAATTATGCCTGTTGTGTTTCTAATTACATATTGTTTATAAGACATGCAAATACATACTTGTTTTTTATGCCCCGTTCAGTAGCATGAAAAGAAATGTGGCTTTCCACATCCTTTGGTTTCTAAGTTTATCAACCAAACTTTAAAAGTAAGAAATTAAAAGGGAGTTTGTTTCCTGTTTGAAGTACCATGAGGAAAGAGAACCATATTAGTTTTATACTAAACATCCAAGAATCTATATCTGTATGCTCTCACCTTTATCTTCTAATGTAATTTAAACTCAACTCCTAACTGTCCTGAATCAAGGAAAATACTATCAGTGCCTGTCTCTGAGCTCTGAATTTTCCAGTCCCTGGGCTTGGAATGTGGAGGAGATGAAAGAAAACAGACTCAAGAATATACAAACATGAATTCAGACCTCCCTGAGAAGGACATCACCCACTACTCCCCCAGCTCCTAAATTTCACTTTAAAATACTTGATGCTTTATCTGGGTTGTCTAATAGACATGCAGATATTAGAAGTTATTACATGCAGGTGGAAAAGAGACTAAAATGCCTACTTTGAAGAAAACTCTGACCATTTATTTAACTGGGATGATTTTATGTTTAAGGTGCTTCTTAGAATAGAGATTAAAGATGTGATGTATTTATGAGACTAGCCCTAAATTTCTTAAACTGGAAGAAATTTAAGTTATAACTGTGTAAGATGGACTTTAGGTTGTTCTTGAAATACTAAGTGGCCTATCTTGTATTAATGTTTTCTTTATATTCCTCAAAGTTTTTTCTGTCAGAATTTATATTTAGCCTGTTGATTTTCAGTCCATTGTTAATGTTCTTTACCAGTGTGCACACACATACACACATAGTTTTTTTCTTCCTTGTTTAAAGAAACTCTGGAAGGAATCAGAAACCAGTAACACCTTTGGGGATATGTGTGTGTGTGTGCATGTGATGATAGAAATTGGGTATATGGGGGAGTGGCCTGTTGCAGGGATTGGAGGGACTATTGACCACATACCTTTTAATATTACTAAAATATTAAGTGATATGAATATATTACTTATTTAAAATATTAAAAATAAAGGGATAAATATTAAAGGGGTTTATGATTATTTTTTTTAAGTAATATAAGCTTATAGTAGAGTAAGTTGAAAATAGAAGAAACAAGAAGAAAAATTATCACCAGCAATCTCAACCACCTACATATAACATCTCTTTTACTGTTTTGTTATAGATTGTCTCAGTCAAAAAGAAAATGCATGTTTATATATACAAATTTGTACATTTTGACAAAATAATTTATAATATTTTGTAACCTGCCGTTTAAAATTTAACGATATGTTGTAAATAAATTATCAGATCCTTAAGCATTTGTTTTCTTTCATTTTAATTGTTGCATGGTGTTCTATCATATTGAAATACTTAACTGATTTACTATTGTTGGTATATAGATTGTTTTAATTTTCTCTGATGTAATTTCTTGTAGGTAAAGTTAAGTCAAAGACATAGTTATTTTTAAGAGATAGTCAGATTGCCTCCTGGAAGGGTTGTGCTTATTTGCACTCATTATGCTGTATGAGAGTCCCTCTAACCATGGCTACAAGAGACTGCCCAGGTGACCAGCCATAAAATTGTTAATTTATTGCAGTGTAATAAATAAAACCTGAAGATAGGGCAACTCTCAGATGCGTGGTTGTGGGGAGACAACTAACTGGGATATGAAAACTAATTTTATTTTACACCCAGTATGTGATTGGCTTCAGGCTGGAGTAGATATTTTGCACAATTAAGTCTGGGATTTTTGGAAATTGGATTGTTGGGCTTGGCTGTGATGGATGGAATTTTTGCTGTCCTAGATTGAAATCTTTTCTGTTAATGGAGTGAATTTTGTTCTGCCTACTGCCTGGCTTAGCATTCTATTAGTGGAGGTTTGTGTAAACTGGATATTATTATACACTGAAATATGCTTAAAAATGGATGTCCATCTGTATTAAAAGATGAGAGATGGCTAAGTAGCCTACACACTTGGAATCCAGAGAAAATATTATACAGTATTTACTTGCCTTTTGAAATGTTTACTGACCACCTTCTTTCAGTGTGCAGAGGTACTTTGCTGGCACACTGGTAGGTCTGTGAATTCCACTTTTGGATCTTGGGAGAGACTGGAGAGAAGAGGCTAGGCAAATAATTGGCAGGAAAAGCAAATGGTTACAAGTCTGTTGACAATGCAGCCTTGTTTGCCCACTCTTTGCCTATCTGAATTTCTGAAACTGGATTCCTTAGCTCTGTGAACTAGTTAGCAGAAGAGCACTCCTTTTGTTTAGGGTGCTTGGAATTATAAGCATGCCGGAGAGAACACAATTATGTATGTCTTAGTTGGATGAATGCATCCTGTCACTGTTAGGACTTGGTGGTGTAAAAGGATTAATAAAGAGAAGTGAGCTGGGAATGGTTTATCTGTGGAAGTTTCTGGAATTGGTTCGTAGGTCTTTATATTATGGATATTTCATAGTGAAGAGGTTACAGAAATCAAAAGGCTGTTATTCATGAAACCAGAAGTCTGCTAGTCACAATGTAAACATTTTTTATTTGTAAAACAAAAAGAACAAAGATAGCTTCATTTAATAGATATGGCCTTGGTTGTGAGAAAAATCTAATTTAATTGGACAGGGTCTTCTTAGTAGTATCTATTTTATAAAATATAAATGACATTGTTATTTCACCTAATTTTGGGTTTTGATCTGTTAATCTTACATTTTTATTGTAAGAATGAATCAGGCACTGGAATATAACGGATACTTTTTCTAATTTTTAACAGTTTTGAAAGTTGGTTTTTTTTTTGAGAACAGTGAGGAAAACTAAGGACAAAATTAGAGTATCATTTTTGTTACTGAGAGAGCAACGATGTTTTAAGAAGTCATATCTGGTTTTAGGTCATCTGTATCATAAGTTTTCTGTGGATATTGGGTAGGTAACCTTCTCATTTCCACTCTCACTTTTTTCTCTTGTGAAATATTTTTTTAAATGTTAAATTCTGTCATCTGCTTAACAACTGAATTTTTGTTTTTCCAGCATTGGTTGGATGGTACAAAGAGCATCAAAAAGCAAGTAAAAAGTAAGTGTTGAGAAAGATTGTGAAAAAATGGAAATTGATTTATATATAATTATAAATTAGTAATTGATTCTTTATAGTAAGAATGACATAAGAAATCATGTTTCAAATGAATTTTTTAGCACCTCTACTTTCTAAAAACAATTTCAATCTGATAAACTGACCCTAAATTATATAGGGTTGATGGTAATCTAGATTCAAGTGCCTCACAGTTTGTTTCTAGGAGAAAGGCTTGCAGCTTGCAAATGAAATTGAGTTCCTGTGAGATGCTTAATTTTTATTTAGTAATTTCTTATGTTTAATTTTCCTGTTTGGCATCTGCCCTGCTCTAGAAAATATTTTGAGACTTGAAGGCTGCAACTTTCTTAAAAGTTAAGAATAGTGAAATGAAGCAGTTCACATAAAATGTCTGTAGTGTTCCTAGCAGTAGTTGAGAAAATACCAGTGTTCAATCCATAATCTATCTTGTCCTGCCTAGTAACAGATTTCAGGGCACCTCAGCTCTTGTCTTTACAAAGTAATGGGACCACTGAGAATATAGAGGTTAGTGAAGTTGGTGAAGTGAATTTGAAAGTGTGTAGGGGGAGGATTTGCCATGAGCAATTAATTACGTAGGCATTCTTCTGTGCTCTCAAGAAATACAGCCTCATGAATTTTTAGAGCTGTTAGATTGCACAGTCAAGACTTTTTTATTTGATGTATTTGGCCCTTTGTTAGAATTAATTTAGCTATCTATTCTTGGGAGGATGATGATTGTGATAGTACTGTTAGTACATTTAAAAAGCCTGTTGATCTTTTTGTGTTAAGCTTAATCAAGCCTATAGTGTAACCTGAAATATTGCCACAATAACCCGTTATCTTCTGTCCCTACTTTAGTAGATTTTGACAACTTTACCAACTAAATGTCTTAATGTTTAAATAGCTATAAAAAAAAAAAAATTAAAGCTTTTTTTTTTTTTTTTTTAATGGCAGTTGGTTCACCCTATTGTCTGCATTTTCGAGTAAAGTTTTATTCTTCAGAACCAAATAATCTTCGTGAAGAGCTAACCCGGTAAGACCATTCTATAGAGTCTTACATAGGTAAAGTCTTGTTAGGTTAGCTAAAATGTTCGAAGACTGTCTTAATAATTCTTTCTAGTTTATAGATGGCTAATGAAATTGATCCCTTGCCCCTGATAACAAAACTTCAGATAATAGAATTTCATTTTGGGACAATGCTTTTTAAGTGCAGAATTCTTTTCCTTTATTTATCAGTTCTCAAAATAAAGAGTTGGTTTCCTGGCATCCTCCAAAAGTAGCTAATATCATTACCAACACATGGATCTTAAACAGGGCTTATATGTTTCAATATATTGCCATGTTTATTGATGATCAAAATGATCTGGCTTTGGCCACTTGGAGTTTATTCAGTTGGCTCCTGATTTTCTTTACCTATTGAAATGCCATTAATTAGTGAAAAATATTAAATTCTAATTTGGTTTGAATGGTTTCAAATAAACTTTAAGTAGGTTATATATACTTAATTTTACTTTTTCCTGCCTCCTTGGTATTTATTCATTGACTATATTGCAAATCCATGATTCATTCCACATTCTATTTATTAAGTAAAAAATTGAATTGCTGAGTCTTTTAAGGATTTTCTCTTGACTACTCTGCCAGTGAGATTATAGCTATTATTCATAGTTTATATACATGCTTGTATCCGTTCACATCTGAAGTGGCTGCATTGTCAAAGTAAAGTTAAATAAGCTCACAGAGCTCGTTCTCAGTAATTCTCCTTAAACTTTTACTCTGTGACCTGTTATTCCTTGCTCTTGTGGACGGACATGCTACCGTCCTGATGCTTATTGCTCCTTTTTTTTTTTTTAACTTATTTTTCTTTTGATGACTTTATTGTGGGTGAAATTCTATAATTAAAAATGTTCTCAAATTAGAAGGGTAGGATTATTTATACAGTAGATTGTTCTGATTAGTTAAATTTGTGTCTTTTCGGTTTTCTTAGGTATTTATTTGTTCTTCAATTAAAACAAGATATTCTCAGTGGAAAGTGAGTATTAGTTGCTCAAGGTAAACCACATTTTTTTGAGTAGTTGAAAAATGTTTTTGAAAAACAGCTTCATAGTAATTTTGAAAAAAATGGTCAACATAAAGTATGTCCATTTATCTTAAAATGATTATAAAATTGACTTGGTTAATAAATTTGTGTTTTGGTGTCTCAGATTAGAGTGTCCTTTTGATACAGCAGTTCAGTTGGCAGCTTATAACCTGCAAGGTAAGCAGTTCTCATGTTGACTATTGGGAGTAAGCATAATTCTTTTAGTGTGTGTTGAAGAATTTCAAAACAGTCAAAGCAATGTGCAAAAAAGAAACAGCAGTATTTTTGTGTAAAATTTGTATCATTATCCAACTCTGATGTATACTTGTTTTAGAACATTGCCTTCTTTTTTTTCCTTTTCACTTTATTTGTTCCTTTCCCATCTATAGTGTTTTCAAATGAAAATTTGCTTTCTACTTTATAATTCAATAAATGTTATAACTGGACCCTCAACTAATTTTTTTCCTTAAAAAGAATACAGTAATATACTAGTAAGTTGTTACTGCAACCACATGGCTTTTTAGTCTTTTTCTTAAAAATGAACCCATGAAAAAGATAACTTAGAGTATACTAAAAGTTCCTGATGGTCATTTTAAGGATTAAAAAAAAGTTTTCCAATAAATGAAAAGAAAAACTCACTTTTTTATGCCTTGTTACACTGATCAAATACTATTAAACTTAGGTGTTTTCTTCTGAAAAATTTGACATTTTAGTAAAACTAATTTCAGTTCTTATTCATGAAATGGAAAGAAATATTTTTATTATAATTTTATGCTTTAGTGGGGGATGATTCCATATTTATCCCTAGTCCCTCTAAGACTAATAGTGTTTATTTGCCATTGTATAAATGATAATAAGATAATTTTTTATATACAATTCAATGAATTTTTTTTCAATTATAGTTGGCATACAATAATATATTAGTTTCATTTGTACAGCATAGTGATAAGAACTCAGGTGATCACCCCATTAAATCTAGTACCTGTTTTCCCCCTTACATGTTTATTACAATGTTGTTGACTATTTTCCTTATGCTACCCTTTATATCTCCATGATTATTTTGTAACTATCCATTTGTATTTCTTAATCCCTTCACCCTTTTTCACTATCCCTCCCAACCCCCTTCCTGTCTGGTAGACCTCAAAATATTCTCTGTATCTATGGGTTTGTTTCTGTTTTTGTTGTTGCTGTTGTTATTTTGTTCTTTAGATTCCACATGTATATGAAATCACGTGGTATTTTAGCCTGTGCGTGTCTTTTAATCTGAAGTGAGTCTCCTGTAGGCAGCATATGTCGGGGTCTTGTTTTCATACCCATTCAGCGACCCTGTCCTTTGGTTGGAGCAGTTAATTCTTTTCCATTTGAGGTAGTCATTGATAGATATGTAATTATTACCATTTTTTATTCATGATTTTGATGCATGGTTTTTCTTCTTAAAGAAGTCCCTCCAACATTTTCTATGATGGTGGCTTGGTGTTGATGAATTCCTTTAGCTTATTTTTGTTTAGGAAGCTTTTTAACTGTCCTTAAACTCTAAATGATAGCTTTGCTGGATAAAGTATTCTTAGTTGTAGATCTTGGGTTTTCAACACATTAAATGTTTTGTGCCAGGCCCTTCTGTCTGGCAAAGTTTCTTTTGCGAAATCAGCTGCCAGTCTTATGGGTGCTCCCTTAGGTAACTAACTGCCTTTCTCTTGCTGCTTTTAAGATTCTCACTTTGTATTTAACCTTTGGCATTTTAATTATGATGTGTCTTGGTGTGGGCCTCTTTGGATTTTTCTTTCTTGGGACTCTGAGCTTCCTAGGATTGTAATAAGACTAAATTTTTAATGTTTTATGGTAAACTGAATATTTTGCTTATATTGCACTTCTATGGTTTAAAAAAAGTTTATTTTCCCATCGATAGAGGGATTGATGATTGGAGGAAATTTCTGTATTTCACATTTATTTACCACTAGTATAAATTATCTACCTGCCTCCATCTGCTATCCTAGTCTGTCTACAAATTAAAACTTTTCTTATCTGCTGAAATGTTGACTACAAACTAGTTTGGAAATGCTATGCCTCTAGCATTGTTATGATCAGAAGTATGTAATTGCATGCATTTTTCTTGAAGGCATTTATTTTTATGAAGGAGAATTTTTATTTTATGTATGGAGAACTTGACAGTGTACACTTAGCCCAGTTTTGTGGTTTACCTTTTCCAGTTTGGCAATGCAAGCTACTGATTTGGGGCCCAGGATATTGCCTACCCAGTGACGATGTATCTCATCATATCTGCTGCTGTAATTGGCCCTGATAGCTTCCACCAGCTTAGCTAGTGCTCCCTTGTCTTCTGAGTTAACCTTTGTGAAGGCAGCAGTGGTGCAGGTCTTCCTGTGGACTAGACGGCCCAGTCTGGCCTTCCCTTTGACAGTGCAGTAGGGAGACCCATCTTACGGCACAGGACAGGCAGGAAGACAACCAGCTTGATGGGATGCACATTATGTGCAGTCACTAACAGCTGAGCCTTCTTGTTCTCCACCAAAGTGGAGAAAATATTAACCCCTGCTTGAAGGACAGGTGACCAGGCCTTTTGGTGGGGACAGCACCTTTGCCGGAATCCTTTTTCTCAGCCCAGCCAACAAGCTTCTGCTTCTTTTGCTTTGTCATTGGTCTGTACTTGTGGGCCAGCTTAAGCAATTGAGTAGCTGTTTGGCGGTCCAAGGCCTGGGTGAACAGGTTCATCACAGGAGGCACTTTCAGGCGCTCATAGAGAATAGCACTTTGCCACTGCAGCCAAATGTAGTAGGGCCATTTGACAAAGTGGATGATGTCCCATTTGGGATGGATATCCTGTCCAATGCCAAAATCCTTTGTCCTTTTCTCATACGGGATTTATTACCACCTTGGCCTCCTGCTTCTTCAGGACATCTGGGGTCAGAGCCACCTTCTTCCTTTTGGCCTTCTTTCCTTTCGACATCTTGGGTGGCGGGAGGAGAGAAGAAAGCACATTTTTTACATTTTACTAATTTCTGTATGAAATTGTTAATTCTAAAACTCTTGGATCTACTGAAAAGCTGTCATTTCTAATATCTGTTATACCATATGTTGCATCACATGGTCTATCTTTGTCTTGTGTAATTTTCATGACAAGCACAGATATGCTTCTTGAAAATAGAATTTTCATACATTTTTGTGTATTTAACAAAACTATTCACAGTAGTGCTCACTAATACATATTATTTGATTCGTGCATGTGACTCCGTTATAATGTCTCTTTACTTAATATTTTTCTTAAATAAAATTTCTTTCCTACTTGCTCTTTTCTTCAGTGAATGACACCATTATTTTAGGTTCCTCCAAATTTCATGTTATGTCCTATGTATCTCCTTGTCCCATGTCTAATAGTTTACCAAATCTTATTAATTCTTAAGGTCCTTAAGAATAAATTTGCTGAAGTATTACTTCCAGCTTCATTAAAAGGGCTCCTTGTTTCTCATTTATGAATTTATAAATTTATGAATTTATATTTTATTAGAATAATTTTTATTAGCTTCCTCACACTCTCAAGTTCAGTTCTTCTGTACCATTTTAGTTTATTTCCTAAACAACATTATTTAGCAGATTTGGTTTGGAGCTTCTTAAAGACATTGTGGTCCAGACAAAAGAACAGTTTTTTTCAGCAATAAAGGGGTGTGATAGTATTTTCCAAGGTTATTGTGAAATTAAATAACAGTATATCTGTAATATGTCCAGTATGTAGAGTAGGTGCTCAATAAATAATGCGATTACTATTTTTATGATTATCTCCAGGTCGTTCTCATGTATTCTCTTCATGGCAAAATTTTTTATAAAATGGAAATAATTTAATTTTGTAATATGAGTAAAATATTCTTTTAAAGGAAAAAATTTTAAAGTATATAAAATTAGAATGTTTTCCCTTCTTCCCCAAACCCATAGTTCAGAGATAACCACAGATGAGTCCATAAGTGTTTGTGCATTGTTCAGTTCTTTTCCTACTATCTTCCTTTCCCAAATTTTTTTAGCAATTTTTTTTTATTTCTTTAGGATTAATAATCTAAAATTCCAGGAGGACAGAGACCATATCTTAAAATGGCATATGATAGCATGTTCTGTACATATTAGGTTCCTAACAGATGCCAGCTAATTAAGGATTGCTGAATATTATTGTTTATTCATTATAAAGTTAAGGTATTTCTCTCTGGAAGTCTAGAAAGAAGTTTCTAAAAGTTAAGTATTTTAACATCTGAATAAATTAAAGACATTTAATGGAAATATACCACCAACCACAAGTATAAATACAGACAGATAAGTCGTAAGTCTAAGCTAGATTTATTTTTGGTAATGGTTTGCACATTATGAATTCTTGATAGTTTAATAAAGAATCTTTTTAATCTTAGCA